TTTTGAGTAGACTAAAATATCATCGATGAACACGATGACAAATTTATCCAAGAACTCTCTGAAGATTCTGTTCATTAGATCCATAAAGATGGCCGGGGCGTTGGTTAGCCCAAACGGCATAACCAGGAACTCATAGTGTCCGTACCTGGTTCGGAATGCCGTCTTGGGGATGTCTTCTGCTCTCACTTTTACCTGATGGTAACCTGATCGTAGATCTATTTTAGAAAAGACCTGTGCACCCTGCAACTGATCGAAAAGGTCATCAATCCGGGGGAGAGGGTACTTGTTTTTAATTGTTACCTTGTTTATCCTTCTATAATCAATACACAGTCTCAACGTTCCATCTCATTTCTTTGCAAAAGTAACCCCGGCACCCCATGGGGAAATGCTGTGTCTAATGAAGCCACTGTTTTGTAGCTCAGTGATTTGTTTCCTTAGCTCTTCCATCTCGATGCGGCTCATTCGGTAAGGAGCTACCGAGATGGGTTGGGTTCCTGGCTGTAAGTCTATGGTGAACTCGACCTCTCTGTCCCCTGGTAGACCGGGCAGTTCATCCGGAAATACGTCTGGAAAGTCTCGGACTACTGGAATCTCTTGGATACAAACTTCCTTCTTGGGTTTACCTAGTTAGGGAAAATACAATATCAACGCACTGGGAATTAAGAAGAAAAGAATTTGTCATTAGGGAGAATCAGTACCGAATAATTTTATTAACTTGTAAATGGCTCCTCGTTGGGAGGATTAAATACAATCTTTTTATTAAAGCAGTCTATGGTGGCGTGATACGCCGCCAGCCAATCCATTCCTAGGATTACATCAAAATCCCCTGTGTCTAACCCTATCAGGTCTACCCTCAATTTCCTATCTGCTATCTCCACGGCACATGCCCTGTAGACAACCTCTCCTAGTAATGTCTCCCCCCCAGCGGTAGATACAAACAATAATGAATCAAGTCTATCAGGTGGTACACAAATTTTGGAAGCAAGAACATGTGAAATAAAAGAATGTGATGCACCAGTATCAAACAAAATATGAGCAATGTGGCCAGAGATAGTATACATACCATGTACCACGTCCGGGTCTGCATCGGCATCCTTCTGGGTAAGGTTGTAAACTCTGCCCTGGATTGGAGGCCTCCCTTGATTCTGGTTCCTAGGACACTCCCTCGCATAGTGCTGGGCACTGCCGCATATGCGACAGGTGTTGTTGAGGCGGTAGCAGGGTCGGTCCCCATGATCCCTGCCGCAGTACTGGCAGATCTTCCCACGAGCTGCCCCCATAGCCTGAGGAGGGCCCTGAACGGCAGGCCTGGGTCTCTTACTGGGTTGGACAGGCATGGTAGGCGCTGGCCTGCGGAGTGGGGCTGAAGGTCGGGAACTTCCCGTTAGCTGAGGGCGGGTGTCGAAGCTCCTTTCTATGATCTGCGCCTTTGCCAGGACTGCCGAATATGTCTCGAGCTCCATCACCAACAAGTGCTGTCTGATCGCCGGGCGGAGACCCCACTGGAATTTCCTGGCCTTTCGGCCCTCATCCAACAATGTCTCCGGGGCATGTCGGCCCAGCTCCAGGAACTTGCGGGCATACTCCGACACTGTCATATTACCCTGGACCAACTGAGCAAATTCAATTTCCTTTAAATGTTGGATGTGCTTAGGGAGATACTCCGCATGGAAAGCCGCTAGGAACTGCTCCCAAGTAACTGGTACAGGCAGGGTGGCCCGCTTGAGCTCCCACCAGCGTACTGCTTCCCCTACCAGCATGTAGGAGGCAATGGCAGCCCTCTGCTCAGGAATTACTCCCAAGGTCTCAAAGGCTCTCTCAGTCTCCGCCAGCCAGTATTGGGCCTCTTCAAAAGAGGATCCCCCTGAAAAAGTAGAAGGGTTCAGTCTCCTGTACCTCTCTATGAAGCCGGGGTCGATCAAGGAGGGGGCGGGGTCCCGAGGTAAAGGAACTGGGGCCGGCTGAGGGTGAACTGGGGGACCCTGTGGTGGCGCCTGCTGATGGGGTGGGGGCACTGGAATATGCTGTGGCGGTACCTGTTGGTACTGTGGCTGTGGTACCGGGTCGTACCGCGGCTGTGGTGCCGGGTGGTACTGTGGAGGAACAGGCTCCTGCCGGGGTGGCTCGGGATCAGCCTGCTGTAACGGGGGCTCAACCTGCGCTAGCGGAGGAGGTCCGGGTAACTCCCTTCTCTCCTCTTGCCTTCGCTGGGCAGCTACGAGAGCTTCCACCATCTCATATAATCTGTCCAAATCCTCCCGAAGCGAATTATCTTGGGCCGCTCGGTTTAGTGGGGGCCTTCCTCTCCTCATTTCTGTGTACCTGCATTTACAAGGAATGGTTGAGTAACGACCCATCGGTGAGTATTTCTTTAAAGGACTATAGTGTAAGGGATGGGTCCGAGGAAATGCGGCTCTGATACCAACTGTAACGGCCCCGGAAAATATTAAAATGAAATGAGTATTTAAATATATCGAATGCGGAAGCGAGATCAAAATTTCAGTTAACATCCCTTACACGAAAAACCAAACAAACGTACTTAAAATATAAAAGGTTAAACTAACTAAGAAAGAAAACTCGAAAATAAACTATGCGTATGACTACAGAGTCTCTAGGCATCCCCTTCGTCGTCCTCCTGCGGAACGGGCTCGGGAACCATGTCTTCCTGATCTGAAATGGTTAATTAAGGAGTGAGCTACACTAGCCCAGTAAGAACATCACGATATCTCACCGTCACGGAGATAAAGGTGGGTAGAAAACCACAAAAAGACCAATGGAGCATAATTTACAACAAAACCTTTTATCAATAATAAAACTTTTACCATCCACTTACCTTGGTGGAATTTATGAAAACAATATGAGAAAAACAATAACATTATCATAATCATTGAATAATCTAAGCTGTAAAACATAACACTTATCACGCCTCTTGTAATTCAATCATTGTACAACATATCTTTTTTCTCATTTACCAGCCTACTAGTATCCGTGGGGGTCCATAGGGGTTCCGCTACCCGTTAACCTTTAACATTCATAATCAGTTTCCAGGGCCGTCCCCATACCCCGTCCGGTATGGGCGCCAAAACCATGAACCTCAATACCCCGTCCGGTATGAGGGTGAAACGGGCCGTCCCCATACCCCGTCCGGTATGAGGGTGAAACGGGCCGTCCCCATACCCCGTCCGGTATGGGCGCCAAAACCATAAACCTCAATACCCCGTCCGGTATGAGGGTGAAACGGGCCGTCCCCATACCCCGTCCGGTATGGGCGCCAAAACCATAAGATCTCCATACCCCGTCCGGCATGTGAGACCACAATCCCGGTAGGGTTCCCTACGGACCCGGTCCGTCCACCATCTCCCAGGATATCTAGTCAGGCTGACCCCCATAATACAATTATCAGTCTACACAATCTTTCATTTTCCTTTTCCTCAATCAGCATCATCAATTCACATTTAAACAAGCAAATCGTAATTCATACCAAACAGACAACATACAGTATCAGTTTTTCAGTCATTCAACCCATAATTAATAAAAACGTAGTACATGCACACAAATCTGTAAAATGAACACATCAAACCTCATTTTGCATTTAAAGCTGTAAACAGGCCAAATAACAGTAAATCATCAATCACACTAGACTCGGGCTCCATTAGCAACCTTAAGCAATTTCACACATGCGTTAATTCAAGAAATACCGTTTTATCATTTTGAACTTTAATACCGTGATAGGAAATAGGGTGAGGGGTCCTTACTTGTTTTCGGGATCCGAATACGATTCACAGTGCGCCTGCAGGCTGTCCCTAATTTTTCCTGAATTTTTTCCGGGGAACTGAAACACACTAACAGTACCTGCACGTGTTCCAAAAAAAATCCAAATTAGGCCCAGGGCCTCTTTCGGCCCAAATCGCAACTCCGGCACGACGGCTCCGCCGTGCTCCGGCGACGGCGCCAGCGGGTTGACTGTTTTCGGCTGTTTTCGGCCGAATTCGGCCACTCTCGCATTGGTCCTTGTCAGAAAACAACCCTAGGGCCCTCGGGGGGCCAAAAAATCACGGAAAAGCGGAGCTTACCGGCGGCGGCGCTCTCGGGTGCAGCGGCTCTCCGGCGAGGTTCGTGTTTTGGTGATTCGGCTCCGGTCAACCTGTAGAGAAAAGAATGGTGATCACGGTGATATAAAAATTGCATCGAACGGAGGCCGGGAAGGGCCTCGTCGGAGGCAAAAACCGAGAGGGGGCGCGGCGGCGCCGCTGGGCTTCGGCCGCGTATTCCGGCCGTTTGGCCGGGATTTCGGCCTCGATTTGGCCATAGGAGGAATCAGCGGGGAAAAACGAGTCGGGGGTATGAAATTTACCTCGATCGGCGGTCGGAAATTTCCCCGGTGCGGCGGCGAGTGGCGGCGGGTGGCGGCGGTCGGCCTCTGGTTCGTCTTCTCCGGCGAGCGGCTGGCGGTTAGGGTTTTTGGTCTGGTGTGGGGGTTCTATTTATAACCCCTTGCCTTTTGATCACAGCCGTTCATTTCGTTTTAATCTGGAACCGTTCGTTTTTGATTGAATCTGGACCGTCCGTGCGTTTGAATTTGGGCCGTCCGATCGCGCGATTGATCTGGGCCGTCGGATCGCACCCACGCGGATCGCCAACGTGGCTCCTTTCGGAGTGACGCGATCTTGCCACGTGGCAGGCCCTGGTTGGCCGGGACTGCTGACCGGGCCTGCTGACGTGGCTGATGACGTGGCCCCCCCCCCCTTTTTTTTTTTTTTTTTTTTTTTTTTCCCTCCTCCTTTCCGGGTGCTACACCTTTACTCAAAATAAGATTGGTAAAAATAATTACTAAGGTGGAGAATATTTTTTAATTTAATTTTTCGCTCCTCAAAATTGAACTTCATTTATTTGGAAATGGAACCATCACTGTCATAACCGTTTTTCCGTTTGTTGCATTTCTCTCAGATTCCCAAAAAATTTTAATAAAAAAATAAAACTATTCTATTTCTCTGATCCAATCCAAATTCAAACATTTTCTTCTCCTCTCCTGAAAAATCCCCAATCAAAAACCCAAGCACAAAATCCTGCATCGCTTTCATTGCTTGCAAGATCTCCGCGCTTCCCGGTTGGCTTTCTAAATTCTCTGAAGATGGCTACAATGCAGAGCCTGATTGGTCTCATCAACAAAATCCAAAGAGCCTGCACCGTTCTTGGCGATCATGGCGGCGAGGGAATGTCTCTTTGGGAAGCTCTTCCTTCCGTTGCTGTCGTTGGTGGCCAGGTAATATATACGTACATACAATTAGATATACACATGCATTTCTGTTTTTCGTATTTTTTTTTTCTTTTCCGTGTTGAGATGTGTTGTTTGAATATTTGTTTTTGGTTCTGGGCTAGTAGAGTTCTGGAAAGTCGTCCGTCTTGGAAAGCGTGGTGGGGAGGGATTTCCTTCCTCGTGGATCCGGTAATTATGAATTTCTTCCTTTGTGATATACCTGTTGTTTTCGGTTTTCAATCATGTCTGTTTGGTTGGGTGGAAATGAGTGAAAAGGTTAGAACATGACTTTGATCTTTGGTTAATAACAGTCCATCTCAAGAAAACGAATTTAATGCGAAATATTGTTTAAGTTGACTAGTCTGGTTCTTGGTATAGTGGTGAACAAGTTGATTTCTATATTGAAGAAATAAGTTACCAAGTACAAGTATTTCACATTCTCCTTATGACATAAAATATTAAACTAAGTAATCACCATCATCTAATTCCTGTTTTAGTAACAAGTGGAACTACAATGAGCAATTTGTTTCTTGAAGAATCATTTTTACTTACTTTGCCTTTTTTGTTTGTGTGTTTTGTTTTTCTTTTCAAAAAGGCATTGTCACTCGAAGGCCGTTAGTACTGCAGCTTCATAAGTTGGATGATGGGCAGTCTGAATATGCAGAGTTTCTTCATGCGCCAAAAAAGAGGTTTTCTGAGTTCTGTAAGTTAAATACAAAGGCAATGTTTATAAGTTTCAACTCACATCATGGTTCCTCATGCAATCTTGAACATTAGTTGCTGCGTTCGAATTTGCCTTGCTGTCATAATTTATGGGTGTTCTTTCTGGCTATGCTACTCAAGGCATGCTAGGTGAATGTTCTGTACTTTGTACAGGTTGGCTACTGTTTATGAAATTATAGTTCTTCTATGAAGTTCCTTGTTTGTCGATGTTGAAGAGAACTGCCTGTGATGAGCAGGCAGGCAGAGGCTGATTGTCTTCATCTTGAAAATACCTCAGTAGGTCAGATAACATTGGAAAACCATATCTTGGTATTTATAGAAACTTCAAATTTGCCATCTTATAGATTCTTATTCCTGGCTTACTTTTAAGATTGAGAGTCCTTTGCTTCCAAGCCATATTTTCAAGATTCATGTTCTTGTCAAACAAAGCGAGTATTCATCTTAACCACCTCCCAATCTTGTATATTTTCTATATTTTAAATGATAGAAGTGTTGGTTTAGGGCATTGACCCTGCACTTTACTCATGGCTGAAGTCCAGGAACACATTAAAAAAGAAAAAGTTAGCCGAGAGCATTTAGTTTTAGGATGTGAAAAAATTTATTCAAATCCTGACTATAAAATAAAACAACAGAAAGATGACAACAAAATACAATAGGCAGTTGGCAGATCAAAATAATGCAGAAAGGCTTAGACCATTTTCTTCCTCCCTTTATAGACCCTGGCAAACAGTTCAATTCTTGGGACCTTACTATATCACAATTGTAAAAAATGTGGCTATGGGAGGGAGCATCATGAAAGTACATAATGCACAAATCTAGACACCAAGCACAGTTATGCTTGCCAACTTGAAGCAGATCTTTAATATTAAGACTTAAGCGTAAAGCCATTTATTGCATAGTAATGAAAGATGATGTAGTCTAAAAATTGGAAGGGTTTTCTGTTGGAAGCAGCAACTGCTGTGTAGGCCTAATCTTAATTTGGAGTATTAAAGAATTTTGGTGGAGTTGGGATCTTTTGCTTTGTTTCTTTTATTTATATATACTTTGTTTAGAACTGGGACGAGCCGAAATTTCAGATTTAGAAATTCATGGTATCCTTTCCACTTATGCTAGTAAACTTGTGATGGAGAGCGCATTGTCCTTGTTACTTATTCCCACCTTGATTTCGTAATGACTTAAGTGTTAATGGACATTGAATGCAATATAATGCCTATTATCGTACATGTAAATGACCATATGAATAGAGACAAACATTTCTTTTACCTGGTCATCTTACTAGAAATCTTTGTTGGGTTATTTTTATCGTAAGTAATTATTTTAAATAAGCATTGTATTTAAAATGGAATTATAAAGGTCGAGATATGTTCGAAGTATTTCTCCTAAAAAAGGAATCATAAAGTTAATGCAGTTATGAAGTGAAAAACAAATTATTTGAGCTACATCCTTTGTTATGTCCTTTTTTCTCATCTATAATAAAATTTTGTAATTATCATTACAAAGAAAATAGTACGTCTCTGTGGAGCAAAAGCTAGCTAATGGTTTAAATTTATTCTTCTTTGCTTGCCAAGCAACACAAAGTCTGAGTTGATCACCCAAAACATGCACTAAAGATGTGGGATTTGAGGTGCACTAGTTGCACCAACTCCTCAAGGGGAAAGAAAACTAGCCTACAAAATTGCTCATCTAGTAAAGTAGTTAGCTTTATTGCATCTAATATTTGGAACGGTTGGCTCTTGGTGTCACCAGGCTGATTCAAAGCATTGCCTTCTCTGGGGAACGATTAATGATAGATTTGGTATACAGAGAATGCATTCTGATAGTTGTAGATTTTTCACTGCCATCCCTGATTGTATGTGAGCTATAACATGTATCAAGGTACGATGAGCATTATTCAATTTTGCAGCTGCCGTGCGTAAGGAGATCCAAGATGAAACAGATCGCATAACAGGGAAGACAAAACACATCTCAAACATTCCGATTCACTTGAGCATATATTCCCCACATGGTTTGTTTTTATGGTTTCCTTTTAACTAAATACTGATTGAAATCATTCTATTAACTTACTGCAGAACAGATAACGAAGAATTGCTTTATCTTTACTTTTGCTTTTTTTTTTGTTTTCTTGCCAAAATTATGGATATTCTGAATAAAGAATAATGGTATTTGTTTATCCATTATTCCTTTTTCCTTCATACATTCATTTCTACCTTTATCTGTTCAATCTTTCTGCTGAACACTTAATGAGTGTTTTATGAGAATTTTACTAGTGGACAAGAGACTATTGCTTGATCACCGTGATATATTAATCCTGCGGTAATAGCTAATTTAACACAGTGAGGCATGCATTTGATATTCTTGCACCTGGCAAATTCAGCTACTCGAGTTCCATATTGATGCAGTCTCATGCAGGATTTTTTATTGGCGACCTATCTGTCTTGCCATTCTTCTTTTCCTACTTATTTGATGATAGTTGTGGTCCCGAATAAATTAGTTTTCTTCTTGTGTTTGATTTTGTTATTACTTTAATTCTTTCATCTATTGGTTCTAAGTTGACTGTAAAATGCATGATTCTATTTGGCAGTGGTCAACTTAACTCTCATAGATCTTCCCGGGTTGACAAAGGTGGCTGTAGGTAAATAAGACATGATGTTATCTTCAAATACAGGCTAAAAACATAAATCATTCAATTAATTTTAGCAGTTCTCATTTTTTGCAATGCAATGTGGCGATTTTTCTCTTGGCAGAGGGACAACCAGAGAGCATTGTTGAAGACATTGAAAACATGGTTCGGTCTTATGTTGAGAAGGTGAGAATCCTGTATAACTGGGCATCTGCGTACCTATAAATATTTTGAATTCAAGTAATATATTTGTTTGAAGCATATTCTGTCTAGGAAGTTCTTTGCATTGCCAATTCTTAAGGACTTCATGTTTACCAAATTCTCTGATTTTTCTAGCCTAACAGCATTATATTGGCTATTTCTCCTGCCAATCAAGATATTGCCACTTCAGACGCCATAAAACTTGCAAGAGAAGTTGATCCTTCAGGTACTAAACATTCAGTATGTTCAAGATTAAAAGTATTCTGTTCTCTCCAGGCTTCCAGGACACTGTAATAATTTCAGTTATTGAACAAAGAGGTTCACATTCCATAATCCTTGGTGCATTTAGGTGAGAGAACTTTCGGAGTGTTGACAAAACTTGATCTCATGGACAAGGGAACAAATGCACTGGATGTATGGATTTTCTTTGTTCTGCATTAATACCAAAGACTCCCTTATTTTCTAACATAATATATCAAGATAATAGTTGCTTTGTTGCATGTTTAGGTTCTTGAAGGTAGGTCATACCGGCTGCAACATCCCTGGGTTGGGATCGTGAATCGTTCCCAAGCTGATATCAATAAGAATGTTGACATGATTGTTGCTCGCCGAAAGGAGTGTGAATATTTTGAAACAAGCCCTGAGTATGGACACTTGGCAAATAAAATGGGATCAGAGTACCTTGCAAAATTGTTGTCTCAGGTCCTTATCATCCAGATTCTCTTATATATGTTTAGCTTGGATTGTAACCCTGGGACGTGCCTCACCTTGGACTTCTATTTCTTTTTTGCTTTGGTTCCTCCTTTTTGTTTCTCTTTTTTATCTTCTTCAGCATTTAGAAGTTGTAATCAGACAGCGTATACCAAGCATCATTGCTTTGATAAACAAGAGCATAGATGAGATTAATGCAGAGTTAGATCGCATTGGCAGGCCTATTGCAGTAGATTCGGGGGTAACAATAGATAGGAAATCAGTTATTTTATAAATGAAACTATTAATTTTTGTATCCCACTGATTAGAAGTTTTTTCCCTATATGAACAGGCCCAATTATACACAATTTTGGAATTATGTCGTGCATTTGACCGTGTCTTCAAGGAACACTTGGATGGAGGGTAAAGTCCATGAACTTCTTCAGCATTGTACTTTCTTTATAAGACTATTCTCTGATACTATATTTTCCAGATTGTTTGATGAGGATCATGATCTGGACCTTATAAGAGATACTTTTACCATGACCTTTTTCAGCATTGTTCCTCTTTATAAGATTATCCTCTGATAGTATTTTATCCAAATTGTTTGGTGGCAGTCATGCTCTGGACCTTCTATGAGATATTTTGTTTTCATCCGCTAAAGTTCGTAACAAATTCCAAGTAGTTTGTCCATTTCTACAAACTGGAAAATAGGTATCTGAATGATTTCCATTCATAGTAACCACTGCAAAGAAGATATGATTTAGGATTTGGAGCTCAATGTTTACTCATTGTTAGTGAAACTTACCTGAAGAGTTAGTAGACCTTGCAACTGGGAGTTTGAAGCAAATTAGAGTATTCATGGATTTTCCATTTATCTATGTCTTTAAGCATAACAAGCTGCCTTCTTAATGGAGGAAAAACAGGAACTTATCATTAGATTTTCACTAGATTTGAATGCCATTTTCTTCACCAGAATGAACCTTCTAGATGGTAGACTGAAATCTTGTCCTATTCCTAAACTAATTGTCATGGGCGTACAAATGTATCAAGTAAGATCAAGTTCTTCTGAACAAATTTTACGATCCTACTTGTTGGGACTCCTCCTGATGATATCCAGCTAATGGTTCAATACACATGAAATTTTGAGAATACAAGAGTTCTTCACTCTTGCTCAACCCTAATGCTGAGGCGAACTGAAAATTTGTCTTCCTGAATTATGCACTATAGATATTGTGGGTAAAGAAAAAAATACAATTAGGTTTTATTTGAAATGATAAATATTCTTCTTAAAAGGTTTCATTCTTATTTTGTTTTTGCATATTAGGAACCAGAAGGATAACATTATAAAGAAGAACTGAAACAGATCCCTTTTTTTGTTCAAGGGACACGCCTCCCTAGGAGGATCTGGTGTCCTCTTTGATATTTTGACTAGCTTGTAACTATTCTTTTGTACATGGCGGTGGCAGTCCTCTAGTGACTTTTTAAAATTACCCTAGCCCTTCTCTTTTAAAAGAAAATAAAAGGGTAACTTGTTATCATCTTATTGTTTTGTGATTGAGAAAACTAAATGCTTGCTGAGCTGGGTTCAATATGCATTATGATATGATTTCTATCTTACCCTGATTCCTTCTGTAAGTTGCATGTTAGATAATGTAAGTTTGCTACTTCAGACGACCAGGTGGAGATCGGATCTATGGAGTTTTTGACAATCAATTACCAGCTGCTTTAAAAAAGCTCCCTTTTGATCGTCATCTTTCTTTGAAAAATGTCCAGAAGGTTGTTTCAGAGGCTGACGGTTAGCAGGCACATTTGATTGCTCCAGAACAAGGATATAGAAGGCTCATTGATGGATCAATTAGCTATTTCAAAGGCCCAGCTGAAGCCTCTGTGGATGCTGTAATGTTCTTTGTTGCTTTCTATCATAACTAGTGACTCTTATTCTTGTGGTTATAATTATAGGATGGGAGCTATTTGTTTGATTTTTTGTGGAAAATAATTTCTTTCAAAAACCATACAGATAATCTCAATCACTAATGGATCCATTCAATGTGCTTGCTTAATGCTTCTAGTTGTGCATAATATGATTTATTTCAAAAAAAATGTCGTGCCTAATATGATAGTGCTGATTACATACACATATATGAATACAAATGGTAGAATAAGTTGCTTTACCTTGTACATCATACAGTTATATGACCCTCTTTTCAACAAATTGTATATTTCTATAAATCTATTGTTACTAGATTAGTTACCATCATTATAATCGTGGTCCCTATTGATATATTTCCATTGTAATGTTGTTGTTGTTGTCACTGTTACATCTATGAAGTTACTGCTAATGTTAGTTTTTCTGGCTGCAATGTCAAGAACCATTGAGAATGTCAGAACCTTTTGTCATGGTTCTGATCTGAAGAAAAAAGAAGAAAAGAAGAAGAAGAGAAAGCAGAAGACCAAAGTCGAGGAGAAATAGGGAATAAATTTATTTCTTTTCCGATGATGTCTACAAGCATAGATAGATAGACTTTCATAGGCTTAAACACTATGTTTCCAGCGAGGATCACACAGCCATTTTGGCCCTAGTAGCGGCTGCGGCTGGTGATGGCAGATTTGTTGGTAATACAAAATAAAAGAAACCCAAACCCTAAATGTTTACAAAAAGACTATTTTGCCTCTTTTTTGTAATTTTTCCTTTTTACCCTTAATATCTTGACAATACTATCCCTTTAAACATTAACCTTATCCTCAAGGTTGATTTGGGAAAACTTTGTCTTCGAGGATCCCTTCTGTGACAATCTCCTCTAAGACCATTACCGTTTTACTCGTGCAATGGTGTCTTGGGAGGTACCAATCTCCACACTTGTAACAAACAGTTGTTACTTTTCTAGGTTCCATATCTCTTCCTGTAGTTCAGGGTGGTTGATCATAATTTTCAGATCTTTATGAAAATTTGGCATCATTCCCAGTAAAATATAAACTTTGAGATATTTCTATAACAGATTGTTCCTGTAATAAGGTCTGTTCGAATACTTGATTAAGTGTTTGCGGCTTGAGAAACCTTATCATGAGTTGTAACTCTAGTTTAAGGCTACAAATAAAGGTGGGTATGAAAAATATTTCTAAAAATGTTGGGTTATCTACATCCATGAGAAAGCATATATGTTCAAATTGTTTCAAATAGTCGAGAATAGTACCTATTCGGGATAGTTTGATGAACTCTATGAAATTTTTTTGCGATGGTCCCCCAAATCTACGGTTAAGTTCCTCCGCTAAATATTTCTAATCCATTACATCAATTTTGGCTAACCACACATGGTACCATATATTGGCAACTTCTCCCAAATATAATGATGCAACCTCCATCTTTTACTCGTTAGGAGTGTTGTAGATTATGAAGTATTTTTCACATCTCTGAAACCACCCGCGAGGGTTTACTCATTCGAAAAGTGAAATTTCCAACTTGGGAAGCAAAAAAAATTAGGCGGAACCGGTTTTGTGCATAGGATCCAGTGGGCCGGTTCGATTCGGACAGTTTCGGACTAACTTGGTTCAGTTTCAGTCGATCGGTTCAAAACCAGGTCGGGTTGGTCTGTCTGGTCCAGGGTGGTTCGGATCGGATTGATTATGTCCAGATTGGTTCGGTCTAGGCCAATAATTGGGTCCGAACTAGAAAATCTGATTTTAGATATCTGGGGGGCCTCTGAACCCCATATTTCTTTTGCTTATTCCTCAAGTGTGAAAAACGGCGGCAAATTCTCCCTCTGCCCGTACGTGACTGCCATTTGGACTGTTGAGGTTGGCATCCTGTGGCGTTGCATTCCATCGCGTTTTGACTCCTCGTGTGTGAAGGGATGTGGCCGATTTTCTTGTAGTCCGATTGGAGCGGTTGTTGACTGCTCCGTCGGATTCGACTTCTACTAATGCAGCGCTCGACCGCATATTAGCTCTGCTAGGTAATCAAACTGATCCTGGAACTCATGTTTCATTTCGTGTACTTCTTCCATGAATGCGGTGAGTCTCTACTCGATATCCTTCATGGTGAGCCTCGATCACTGCTGCCTTCCCTTTAGATCGAGTGTAGGATGCGACACCCGGCAGAGGACTCAGCTGGTCCCTACTCTGATACCATCTTGTTAGAATCCTTTGTCATGGTTCTGATTTGAAGAAAAAAGAAGAAAAGAAGAAGAAGACTGAGGTCGATGAGAAATAGGGATATAAATTCGAATTGTATCATTCCGGTAAATTTGTGAAATTTTTGAACTCCAATGAGTTCAGAGAGTTCAGGCCCATTAGTTTGGTAGATTGCATGTATAAAGCCTTTGTGTAGACAAATTCTTGATGCTGTGATGGTTGCCAACGAGATGGTTGATGAGCGAATGGCTATAAAGAGGAATGGTTTAGTGTGGAAATTGGATATAGAGAAAACATATGATCATGTAAATTGGAATTTTGTAGATTTCATGCTGTATAGAATGGGTTTTGGGTCTAAATGCAGGAATTGGATGAGAACTTGTATCACTACTACTTCTTTCACTGTTTTGGTCAATGGGGGTCCCTCAAAGTTCTTTAACGCCTCAAGAGGTTTAAGGCAAGGGGATCCTCTATCCCCCTTACTGTTCATTATGGTTATGGAAGGCTTAAACGGGCTACTTAGGAGAGCGAATGATCTTAATTTACTGAGAGGTGTTGTGGTGGAGAATAGTGACAATACAATGGAGGTGTCTTATTTATTCTTTGCTGATGATACACTCGTATTTTGCCAGCCAGATTTGAAGAACCTATTGCATTTGAAAAGTGTTTTGTTATGGTTTCAAGCTGTGTCGGGACTTAAAATACATCTTTTCAAGTCTGAATTAGCAAGAATTGGTGGTAGCTGTGAGGCTGGTAATTTTGGTTCGATTTTAGGGTGTAAGGAGGTAAAATTCCCTTTCAAATATCTTGGGATTCATTTGAGAGCTAAATACAAGGATCAACTTACATGAGAACTAATTATTGATTTATTTGATAAAAGACTTGCGGAGTGGAAAAGAAATTTTCTTTCTAAAAGGGGTAAATGTACCTTAATTAAAAGCACACTTACAAACATCCCAATATATTATCTTTCTACTCTAACCATTATAGTGAAGGTGGCAAAAAAGCTGGAAGCTATCCAATACAGATTTTTATGAGGCAACATGGATGATAACCGTAAATACCATCTCGTGAATTGGAATACCTTAAAAGAACCAATCACAAGTGGGGGGCTTGGCTTTAGATCTTTGGTGAATATGAATGAAACTTTACATGGCAAATGGTTATGGAGGTATTCGAGGGAGGAGACGAGTTTGTGGAGGAGGGTTGTTGAGGCCCGGTGGGGCAAATTTATAAATTCTAGTGTTTCTGACCGCACTTCTATCCCCCATGGGAGAGGGTTATGGAGGAAGATTCTTATGCACAGAACCTGTTTTATGCACTGCACAAAGTGGAAACTGGGTAGGGGAAATAAAATTAAATTCTGGGAAGATAATTGGGTGGGAGGTGGCCAAGCATCTTCAGTATTACTCAAAACAAGAATATGGCTATTATTGAGGCTTACCAGAGGTCTGATGGGGAAGTGGTTTGGTCTATTAATGTAACAGAAATTTAAATGACTGGGAGTTAGGGGAATATAAAGTTTTATTGCAGCTATTGGCGGAACAGAAAATTTCTTGTGAGGATGATCAACTTGTGTGGAATCTGGAAAAAATGGCTTCTTTTCTGTTTTCTCTTATTATCAGTTTTTGTGTCTGGAAAGAGAAGTGGGCAGGATTGTTTTTCCAGCTAAATAAATTTGGAAGACCTTGGTTCCTCCTCGTGTGTCCTTTTTTGCTTGGGAGGCTTGTTGGGAGAAGATTTTAACTACTGATAAACTTAGAATCAAGGGCTGCATCCTGGTGAATGGGTGCTATTGTTGTTTGAAGGCAGAGAAAACTTGTAACCACTTATTATTGTGGTCTCCCATGCCTTATTGTTTGTGGTCTTTTATTTTTGGGTTGTTGGGCATCGAGTGGGTCATTGCGGGTTTGGTGGGAGATGAGATATGGGCTTGGGATAGGTTAAATGTCAAAAATAAGTTGGTTAATATGATCCATTTGACTGTTTTTTGGGTCATATGGAAAGAAAAGAATAATAGAACATTTGATGGTGAGTCTAGTAGCATGATTAGGTTAAAAGATAGATGATTGTTTTATTTTGGGTTTATATTGTTAGGATATGATATTTTTAGTGATGTAAATTTTGAGTTTGTCATCAATTCACTAACCATATTGTAAATTTTTGTATATGGGCGGTATCTCTGTTTTTGGTACCTTGCTAATATACAATTGATACTTTTTATTTAAAAAAAAGAAGTATAGATAGATAGACTTTTATAGGCTTAACCATCATGTTTCTGGGGAGTATCACGTGGTCGTTTTGGCCATGGTGGTGGCTGCGGTTGATGATGGCAGATTTGTTGGTAGTACAAAATAAAAGAAACTCTAATGCTAAATGTTTACAAAAAGACCAGTTTGCCTCTTTCTTGTAATTTTTCTTTTTTACCCTTAATATCCTGATAGAGAACCATAATGATTCCCTTGTTATCCAAGTGTTCCATGTATGTTCCTTTAGTGATTTATAACTAAAAAACCAAAAAAAATTCTAAAATTAAAAAAAAATGAAAGTTTTAGAATCAAGGTAATTCAGGAAAGAAATACTAATTTACTTTTGAGGGTTTTTAGTTCGAGTCCTACGGAAAACAAGCTTGCTAGAGAGATAATAAAATTGAAAGCATGAAACCATGGTGAGCTCATAGGGAGGAAAATGGATTTAGGGATCAAGTAGAGCTCATGAAGAGGGAAATGAATCGGGAGCAGGGGACTAAATCAGGTTAAGGTGTATAAACAAAGAGCCAAATACGTGGCGCAATCTAGTGAAAAAGAGAATAATGGGTCTACATCATATCAATCGGAGAATGTTGAGGATACGTGGCATAAA